TGTTCAAGGGAACAAGGGATGTCGTCCCGTGTAGTCTGGCAAAAGTTTACTGACGTTTCAGAGGTGCCTCAATCATCAAGACACTGATGATGAAAGCATTAGCACCTCTGAAACGTCGGTAAACTTCTACCAGACTACACGGCCCAACATCCATTAGAACGTGAAATATAAATTAGTAACAAATACTTACGTCTCACAATCTTAAAACTTTGCATAACATGTAGTGTATTGAAATATAAAAATAAGCATACAAACTTTTAACACTAACACTAAAGTTAAGTTACAATAATTATCGTGTTATGGTCATGAAGAAATTAGTGTCTACCGCTACTGTCTGAGAATGTGTGACGTTTAGCGCGGGAAGTTTGAACTAGGTCGTAGTTAAAAAATTTTGCCGGTCTACTATGTTGCATTACGTGACGGAAAATAGACTTTATAGGTCTCGAAATCCCCTGCTTAAGTACGTGATTTTAATGCTGTAACACAATATGGACTCTACAGACTGAGTTATAAAGGGGACACAAGATTGAAAAATTGATAAGAGAACTAAATTTATATGCACCCGGTCGGCCCCGTGGCTGCGTGAGCACGATTTGAGTACATACAGCTAAACCCTAGCATAGGAAGTTTAGGTATCAAGGGCACATACATTCTTGTTCTGGACGGAAGGACATTTCCACTGCAGTATTATGGTGCCTGTAATCGAGTGTGCTGATGATAGTGATTGTGACGCGCGTGCAGTTTGTGACTCTGCGGGCGTGTAGCACGATTTCTGTAGGGCTGGTCACGATGATGTCCATCCGTTCACTTATCTCTTACATATTTTGTCCTGAATAAGTTTATCATTTGTTCTGCCAAAACAAAATATCGCAGACCACGAAGGTATACGATGACTAAATCGATTAAACCACGTCAGGAAGATTCTAGAATCATCAACAAGAATCATGCTGTAAGACAGCTCTTGGGGAGCATACGTGTAGATGGGAGGATAATATTAAAATTAGGGCTTAATCCTGTGGGCTGGATGTAACAGACTCAAGGTAAAGTCCAATATAAACTCTTTAATTAATTATCGTTTTCCATAAAAAAACAGAAAAGGTTTTACCGGCTGATGTTAACTTCTCAAGCAACACTCTCTGCTATGACTTAAAGTCACAGTTATGTTGTTAAACAAAGCTGTCACTGCAGCCATAACTTAGGTACAATGTTTCATTATCTTTGTTAAAATATGTTTCATCTTGGTGAATATTTAATGACAGAAACATAGCATGTGTCGGACCTAAATGGCCATGAACGAACGATCTTGTTTCAATACATTGTAAAATTTTGTGAATGTTGATAATATCTGGATATTAATATGTGAAGTTGCTGTTTGTCATGGAATGTGATTTAGTTCAGTAAAATCGTCTCTAAAAACTTTTTAATCCGAAACTATGATAATCCAAATGAATAGTTGATATGTACGTAGTGCGACGTAGAGCTTAAAATTCCTTGTACTTTCATTTAATGTTTATCGCACAGAGACGGGTTTGAAATTAAAAAAAGTTGTTGCGATGAACCGCTTTTAAGAAAAGAATTCTGAAATTTGATTTGAACTGCATATAAAGTTGGGAGCGTAGCGGACGGATGTGAATCGATATTAAATTCGCTTAACTTTTTGTGTATCCCCCCCCCCCCAACAATACCAAGTACGGTCTAAATCTGTCGAGTAGTTTTCGAGATGGAACAGAAACGACGTACGACAGAAATATTTGAAAACTCGACTCCGGATCATTTTAGATTCGGTGATGTTTTGATATACGTGCATG